GTCAGGAATATACAACTACTTTGTCACAATTTTTCGTTCTTGCAATCTATTTTTTTCTTTTCAATAATTTTGTAGATTATTTTCGTATTTTTTTGGTTTTCATACATTTGGTCTCTTTTTACATTTCGTTAGTTAAATCATTTTGCAAATTCTGTATGGTTTTTCTATTGTAACTTATATTTCAATTTTTTAATTCGTTACTATTTTCTGAGCATTCTGTCTGTCCGCCTCTCACCTCTCTCCTCTCTGTCTGTCTGTCTCTCTCTTTCAGGTTTATTCGCCGTGCCTTTAGGGGGAACTGTGTATACATGTGCTTTTAAGCTTCCCCCTTTTTGGCATATCTCGTTATATTCTCACTTCTATGCTCTCAACTTCCCAGGTGCACTAGGGCTTAGGAGCCATAGCACTACCTGCAGAAATATTTGCAGAAGATGCAAGCTAAACTTAAGTTTACATTTTTATTTAGCAGAAAGTGCTAAGCAATTTAGCAGAAGCTAAAATGAGGAACGAATATTACGTCATACTCTTGACGTCGAAAGAGCTCTTCCCTTCGCCTGCTGGCCGCGCTGTGCCAGTGGGCCCGTCCGCCGCTGAGCGTCCGCTGCGGCGCGGCGGACTTCGCCGTCGCCGGACTTCGCGCGTGGGCAGCCGCGCTCTCGCGCCAGCGCCTCGCAATGGCTCCCCGCGTCGATCGCCCGCCCCCGCTCGCTGCCGCTCGTCCCCACGCTTACTACTCCGCTCGCCCCCGCCACTATCCTTGTCCTCCTCATCGTCACCGTCCCATTCTGGTTCCCACCATTGCGACTGCACTCGCGTCAACGCTCCAACATCCACGCCTGCGCCCGGCATCATGCGGAGGCTGCCCACGTGGTCTCCCTCAGCAGGATCAGCCAACATTCGATCTCTTGTTCCCTTCTCATCGCTGCTGATCGACTCGCTTGAAACCATGGATCTCGACATTCTCTTTGCGTTCCGTCTTTCTCTGCCTACTCCCCAGATATCTAAGCCAAATTTTAATGGTCTTTTCGTCGTTTTCTCTGTAGTTTCCCTCCCCTCATGTCCCTCCTCAACGACGTCCTCGCCATCCACGCTCGCTTTGCCTAATCTGGTTCAATCACTATTAGTGTCTCTTTCATTGCTCTCACCTTCGCCTCAACTATTCTCGACAGTACCTATTCGTCCTACTTCTATTCCCTGTAAACCCTAACCTTCCCGAGAACTCAATTTAACCCAAACTCGCCTTCCTGAATTCCATTAACGCCAGTTAACACCATTAGCTGTTCCTGCCCTCAGCAAACCAATCATATCCGAGTCTTCCGGCCATGGTGTGATATTTCCTTTCTTTCAATTTGCTTCCCCACCCGCATTCCTTACCGCAAATGCCTTCTGCCCCCTGCTCATTTTTCCGTATGCCGGCGGCGAACCTCTCGCCCAGCTGACTTTTCATGGCTGTACATTCCCACATCCTTCCTTCTAATGCTTGCTTCCCTGCATTCCCTTACCCACCCGCTTGCAGCAATCTACTCCTGCGTGATGGCTGAAATTGCAATCAGGATTCCATCCATCGCTTTTGCGTCTTATTGTCATCGCCTCACATATCTCTCGCCCAGTATTCGTGACTTTTCTCACTCATTCTTCCACGTCCACCATTCGGCCAACAGACTCGCCTTCCAAAATCTCTCACTCTTCCGCCGGCACCATCCCTTCCTCCTACTGCGCACAGTCCCTCGTATGTCTCCAACCCCGCCCACTCACTCCCACCCACGCCTTCGCATCATGGCCCCCACCACTCCGTCGCCCCCACCATTCCAGGCCTTTTGCACTTGTACCTTCCCGTCCATCTTCCATCCCTCGTGGTCTCCTTCGCGCACTTCCTTATGCGCGCTCCCCCCCTACCTTCCCGTCCTTGCGTCCATCCTGCTCGGCAGCACGTATTTTCCTACCGCCCGCCCGCTCTCGCTGGCGCCCGCGCCCACCGCCTCATGGGCGGCCACGCGGCAGGCGGTGCCGCCACGCGGCGCGGCGCGGTGCGGTGCCCGTGGTGAGAAATGGCCGCCTGTGCGCAACCGGCCTCCTGCATAATATACCGCCGCCGCGATGCTTCTGTTGCTTTTGTTGGCCTGGCATTTGTCACGCGCGTCTGTGTTTTATGCGTTTGCGAGACGCTTCGCAAAACAAACGCGTATGAATATTACAAAACTCCACGGCTACTTTTATATTATTTTTACACTTTGGTGGGAATAATTACGCATGATTGCGAGGACATTCGGCCATGTGAATATATTTTTATTTCGCCCGTAAAAAAAGTGTTTTGTTGGTAATGAACATCTCTATTTGCACCTGTCATTTTTTCTAAAAACGTTGCGCATCGTCACATTTATATCAGAAATGTATTGTACAATTATTACGAGTAACATTTTTAAAGCTATTGCTCGGTGAGACGTATTTTGTGCAACTCCCTATTTTCTTATCAAGAGAAATGAATATTTCACGTGTTCACCGTGATTTCTGTTCACTGTTGTGCGCTTGTAAAATTGTTTTGAAATAAAACGAAATCACTTTCTGAAGACAACTTGCATAATGGCTCAAGATAAAACTCTGATAGGGCTTTGAATATGGACAAATTGATTTTCCTAAGAGTCGATTTTTTCACTGACGTATCTGATGAAACAGGAATTTCAATGCACTTAATTAAATAATTTTCTGTGATTTATGAGAATATTTTGAAATGAAGAAAAGATCAAACAAAAAATAATCAAAATAAATGAAATAGTGGTCAGGTATAGGTAGATTATATTACGAGGTAGCTATTCTACTAGTCATTGCATATCTATCTACAATGTCATAATGTAATATATAAAATATTTTCTCTGATGTGAAATATTCTTTCTTTTGCGTTTTAAAATGATAGTCTAATACATTGTCAATATTTGTTTTAAATTAATAGCGGAGACGGAAAATAGCTATTTATGATACATATTATTTTGTTCGAAGGATTGTGAAACATTTCCTACTCGCAAAATAAAATATCACATTCACCACGTGTGTCATGCTAGTTTTTAAACAGCCTTACTGATATTCCTTTTATTATAATTTCAATGTACAAATGACTTAAATGTGTATCATGTTACAATAAGATCAGTACATGTTACAATAAGATCATAGCTGATGAGACGAAAGTATTTTTTTGTTATGTAAGTCGCATGAACATCAAAATCATTAGCGACCACTATTGGATTTAACGATATGGTAACCGTGAAGATATATGATGATGAAAGGGGGCGAAAGGACGATCACATACAACCATGTCGGAGACCGATCTCGTATCCACTATCCTTCGGTTCGAGATCGCTACGGCACCATTTCCTTAATGATCTAAGCCACTGGATCGGCGAAAGTATTATGTTTTCCTTGTTGCATTCAGTTTTATATGAACATTTTAGCATTGTCTCCCTAGTCCTAAACATTGAACATTTGGCATGCTGTGCATGCCGTAAAATGAATATACTAGTGGCTGTGTAAAATAATTTTTTGTATTAGCAGAATGCTACTTCCAAAGATTAAAATATTCAACAGTGGCATTTTTCGGGAGGACGGAAACCCAACTTTTGAACACTCTCTGCTAGAATCCCGACGGCAGGGCCGGCTGGAAACAAAACCGGCACGGAGGGTGCTCCGTGTCTGTTTGCCTGGTAATCGTGCGGTGACTGGTGGCCACTATTGATTCCACAGGTGTGCGCGCGAGGGGGCGCTGTCTGGGCGCTTGGGAGGCGGTTGGTGTGCAGGGGGGGGTGATGCGTGTGATGCGCAGCGCGGCGCGGGCCCCCTTGCCGATGTGCGCTCGCTCACCCGTCGCCCCAGGCCTTCGGGGGCGACCGCGGGGCCCGGAGGCCTGGCAACAGAGGCGAAAGGGGCGGGGCCGGGCCCTTTGCCCCGCCCTCATCCAAACAGTTTTGTTCGTAGTTTTAACCAATTTGATTATTAATGATCGATTAGTGTCAATCACCAAGGAAAATGTATGTAAAGAAAATCTATGAAGAACCACTGGACCTGGCAATGCTTCACTATTGCAATGTAATGCACATCACACGTTACTGGTCACGTGATTGTTAAGTACGTTTTACGCTACGCTCTGCAAAATGTTTGATAGCTGAAAGACTTTCTCCCGAGTATTGGTTTGTTCCATATCCTGGTTTGGACGTGGTTGTGAAGTATCTTGTTGTTAAAACGTTTTCCCTCAAGTTTGGGCATGTATTCGCTACGAGACTGACGTGGAGAAATTGAATTTACTTGTACGAGATAATGTTCCACAAATAATTCCGACCGATGTTTCACAATCAAAGGGACAGAATATACAGTGAAAACGCGCTTAGAACTTGAGGGTGTGGCGGGTTACACAGAGCTCCTGATCAAGTGCGCTTGATTCAGCCTAAACGCATAAAATCACCATGAACGCGTTTATGTGCCGTACACGTACGAACATTCCAACTGTACTGTATCCCTATATTCTTCGTGCAAGTGCAAGAAATATGATGAAAATTTATCGCAAGCTTATGAACGGTACAGCAGTGCATAAAACAAACAAACATTGATTTTTGTATATAAGATGAATATATTATCTAACACTTTTATCAAATATGCACTGCATAATTTTATTATGGAGAATGGTAAAATATATGAATATTTTTTTATTTCAAACTAACATTTTTTAAATTTTAAACATACTATTTGTTTATAATTTTAAAAATGATAATGAGAGTATTTGAACAGAAACCTCTCCCCTTGAAACACTTACTGGATCCGCCCTTGCATGTGCCCAGTCGCAAGACAGTTTGAGAAACCGTGCCAACCCTTCCCAATCCAATTGTGTTTGAATTTTACTGAATTTATTTAACACAACTATCACATATTCTCTTAACCTTACTCTTAAGGATTATGCTAATTTTATGTCTGAATCGTGTTTTTTGTATTTCAAACTAACAGGATTTTTTTGCTTTCAGGTTAACCATATTTTTTATTATTGAAAAAATGGTAAGGAGGGTATTCTTCACTGAAAGTCCATCCTCCTCTTGAAACACTTCGTGACTTCGCCCCTGCGTGGACTTGCACCAAGCAGCGAGGGCTGAGAGGCGATGGGACTGAATGACAGCATTGTAGGGGCAGCCCACTCGGAGCTGTCAAAAAAGACGCCTGGAGTGAGTAAAATTAATATTTGATAGACGCATCTCAGGCGCTTTGGCGTTTCCACGGCAACCGAACAAAGCTCAATTAGGAACCTGCCGCGTTGCGCAGTGATTGATTGCATCTTTCAACTGTCAATAATGGTCTTTAATCGAAACAGACAACAATCACCTTGTAACTCGGCATTGACGTGGGAATTAAAGAAATTGAATTTATGAAGGGTGCCTTTGTTCTCGAATCACTGATCCAGATCACGGGCCGACGATGGCCTCTGGTGTATTCGCCGTTACTTTTAGTGCCACTAATTTCTCGTCCATCGTGCCATCGCCATATATAGCGGCGGATTCAGCCAATGATTTTGTGTGGGGGTATAAACATATTTGTTATTATATCGTATATTATTTATGTACTGTAGATATCACATTATGCAATATTATTGTTTAAATAATTACATAATTAGACTATAAGTAAATATTAAAAACAAGTTTTCGAAATAAATGAAATTAAACGAAAACTTTTATGGGAAGCTCTGGCCCCCATTTCCCCCCTTCTCTGGATCCGCCAGTGGCCATCTGCAGCTATCAATCCTTGCTAAAGCAGCCGGCAGAATCACCATTGACCGACTCCTTTTCTAAGACATACGTCCTTTGTATTCTTTTCGGTGGCACATCGGTGGCAAGGCGTCAAATGCTTTCCGGTGACACATGCATTCCTTTCACAAACTCAGCGCATTGACTTGGACCACGGATTGCGTTCTTCATGCCTTAAAGCTGCCTCTGGGGCATTTTTTCTTTATTTTTTTGATTCTAAATTCATCCGATTACATTGATGATTCATCCTGCAGAACCTCTACTAAAACTATTCGACATTATTAGTGCCTTCTATTACTAATTGAAGGGCTTGAGACACTAACATAAGCCACGGCAGTCACACCAAGATTCTTGCTATTCCCACCAGTTAATGTTTAGATTTTGGTAAACGTGTGGCTTGCCTTGTTACTATATATGTCTAGTTTTTACATCCGCAACATCCACATAAATATAAAGATTAAAGTCACTTCGATTGATTGATAGATTAGAGATTCTGGGCGCGGCAATTGAAGAGGAACAGTCTATTTTGGAAGCCCAGAGTTTCTCTCGTTACTCCTAAGACAGTTTCTCTTGACACGAATATCAAATATTTCTTTACTAAAACAAAAATAAATGCATTTTTTATGTTCCACGTTTCTTCTGCAGAGCCAATATATGAGATTGAGCAAAACTCAATTGTGTAGGGTTATGGGCTGCCATTAAAAGGGAGTCAGTCAGAGGGAGAGGGGGAGATACAGATAGAGATATTTCACAGATATTTGAATGTATGTCCAGAATTGCAGCATGTTTTGTGAAAAAAGTTTATTGCGTTTCTATTGTAAACTAAAAGAAAATAAGTGTTTACGTAGCACAGTGAGGATTTGAGAGTGTGGTTGCTTTGCTCCTTTTCTGCTACCCTAGTTTTCAAACTCTATCCCAGAAAATGCAAGAATTTTGTTTTCAGAGTTTCTATAAATTAAGTTCTGCATTTGTAAACAATGGACGTTACATTTTTGTTAACCAGATTTCGGGCCTAATAATCTCCACCAAGCTGTCCATTTAAAGAGCATAATGGTTAACGTGATCCTGTTGGAAAACAATTTTAAAAATCAATTCACGTTTTTGTCTGTTCGCGAACATAATACATTCGGAATTGAATTTTGCGATGGTAATGCTAAATTTCTTTGTACAAACTTAATGTTTTCTTACAATGTGTATTCTAAATCGTTAAATAATATTGTCACTTTGTCGGATGAATGAAGCTAGGATGATTATTGTATAGGAAGATGTACAAATGTGTACTCTGAAGGCACGAAAACTTTTGCACATCGCTCAAATAAACCAATATAATGTCATATCCGTTTGTCGTCTCTACGTTCGTCCGTCAATTTGTTCGTCCGTCAATTTGTTCGTCCGTGCGTTTTGTTTGTTCGTTCGTGCGTTTGTTTGTTTGTCCGTGCGTTTGTTTGTTCGTCCAATCGTTTGGTTTTGTTTGGTTGTCGTCCGTCTGTTTTGTTTGTTTGTTTGTTTGTTCGTCGTCGCCGGTTCCGTTTTGTTTCTTTGTTTGTTTATTTGCTGTTCGTCCGTCCGTCCGTCCGCCGTTCGTTTGTTTGTTTGTTTGTTTATTTGTTGTTCGTCCGTTCGTTCGTTTGTTCGTCCGTCCGTCCGTTTGTTCGTTCGTCCGTCTGTTCGTCTGTCCGACACTCCATTGGTTCATCCGTCTGCCATTTCAACGATATCCTTTGGTCCGTCAATCCGGCCACTATTCCGACGGCCCGTTCACCAATTTGCCTATCTTTCCGTTTGCCATTTCATCCGCGTGTCGCCTGCTATTCCAACGGCCCGTCCGCCTGTTCACGTGACCGTCAGTCGGCCATTTCGTCCGTCCTACTGTCGTCCAGATCGTTTGTCCGTCCGTGAGCCTCTCGTCCGCGCGACCACCGCAGCCTCTCCCGCCCCTCCACGGATGCGGCCGCGGGTCTGCGCGTTCAGCGGGCGGCTAGGTGCGCGCTGACGACCACAAATTCGGTGGCGCGGGGGGGGCGGTGGTCATGCCGCGGCGTCAGCGCTTTTTGTGGTCATCCCCGCATGCGCTCGCTCCGCAGGTTTCCCTCTGCGCGGGCGACAAGGCGCCAATGCAGAGGAACCACGCTCTGAAACAGGAAGAGTTCGCATTTAAGAAGACGTCCGAGCTTTCTACGCACCAACATTTTTAAAAGAGTTAAATTTAGTTGAAATTTTACTTTCTCGCCACCGCTAGTGCAGTGGAGAGAAACGTATGCAATGCTGTGCGAAAAAAACTGCGAATTTGTGAAGGGAAACTCTCAATATAGGGCCTTGATAACGAAAAAGTGGATAAATTCAGTTGCTAAATGTAGAAAAAAATCCTGAAACACGTTGTGTAGCCAGAATATGTTTTGTGGGTCTTCGATACCGAAAAATCGATTGACGGCAAAACATCCGTCTGTCTGTCCGTCCGTCTGTGAACAACGCTCAGTAAAATCGTTCAGCTGATTTTCTCCAAAATTAATATTTCTCAATAAATCCGGCTGATGTCGCAGACCCTTCAATTTCAAACCGATATTTTAATTATGGGGACTCAAGGACATTTCCAAAATTTTCAAATAAATTTTTAATTTGTTAATTTTGTTAAAAATCTGAACTGCAAGTTTTATTCCGCCTGCCAGGCCTCGACGTCAAAAATAGGTAAAATAATACAACCAATTAATAACTTCCATAAAATAAAAATATTATATTACAAGGTATTGTAATTCACTCTGATAAGATGCTGTGAACACTTCAATCATAACAATTTTAATAAGATATAAAGTTCCTTCCACGCGGTATTGCTTCCTGGTTTTTCACTGGGTGAAGATAAATCACATCCAATGGTTTGGGAGCTCGTAACTCCGTAGCTTGCATGCTGAATATTTCCATAGCGTAGAGGACAATAGTTATAGAAAATAATAAATTAAAAATGTCAACAAAGTCATATTATATTCATTTGTGAGATAAAAGGTTCATCTACCAATACTCCCAAGGATGTTACACGATGCCATCACATTTTCGAGTTCTGATACGCAGGGCTCTTCTGTGATGAGGCGGTGCTCGCCATACGTCCTATTGCCATCTTGTGTAGGTGGTCCTGAGGCGTATGCACACAGCCCTTTAGGCTCGCGCAGAAGCCAGCCTTTCGGTCTTGCGCTCGTTAGCGACGCCGGCTTCCGCCACAGGCTCAGCCGCCCCGCCCCGCTCCGCCACGCCCCACCCCTCCCCGTTCCGCCCCGCTGCCCCTCCGCACGCCGCCGCGCCTCGTCGCGCCCCGTCCCGCGGCGCCCCATCGCAGGGCGGGTTTCCCACACTTCTCCGCCCCGCCCTTCTCTGCCCCTCCCCCTCCCCGCCTGCGTCTCTACGCCTCGCCCCGCCCCACTCCGCTCTGCGCTTGTCTCCGCTCTCCGTAACGAGCAGTGGGTGAGCCGCCAGGTCTGTTGCAAGGCCCTCCCTGCTTTGTCAGCCGAGGGACCTCCGCGGCGCTCCGAGGGAGTGTTTGGTGTCTCAGACCGCTTCAACTTTTCGCCACACATCTTTCCCATTGATAGTGTCGAAAATATATTATAACTCATAATAAATGTTAAATTACATTTACCATGCTATTAAATGGTACTCGTTATTGTCAGGTATGCCAAAAATGCCAAGATATCAAAGTGTCAATGATTTGAGGTACGCGGTATCGTTTCTTCAAAGACGATATTTTCTTTTGCAATTCGCCCCAGCCAGAACAAGCTTTAATCTCCACTACTCTTCCATCCTCCCACATTTCCGGCGGTGTTATGCAGTTATTGTGTGTATGTGTGGAACAAGGATAAGTAAGAAAGAATTTCGCGCGGTTTGTGGCCTGTTTTTAGACACTAATACTGTATTTGTTTGGTATTCACAAGAAAAAATACAAAAAACCACCGATCACAACAATGACGGATAAAATTCTCCTGAGATGGTGTTTGAATTCGACGCAGCTTCATCGCTAATGTTGCAAAGCCGCCAGAACACGAAGAGGTCTCTGTGAGAACGCGGAATTATGGATCCTCGAGATCAACAATGTTGCGGAGGCTTCTGATGTTGCCTGTGACTCCTCGCAGTCCGTGCAAGAAACTCGTTTTGCCTTAAGGGACACATTTACATGCATGATGAGTCTCAGAAATCGTAGTTGTAATTGAACCATTGTGCGAACATGAAGCACGTCGCAGCACAGACAGTTTTCCAACCGACGCGTTGCAGGTCAGTCACCTCCGTTAATTGGAACTATTTACAGTACAAATTAACTACGAACATTACTGAATTATCCTGATAATATTCGCATTGTGACAACAAAATGGAGGGTTAAAGTTCGAATTAGAGGTATCTTCAAAGCGTATTGCGGACTTACGACGGACGTTATGACATACAATAGATTGATTGTCACATCAATTAGCAGGGTCATTAGTCCCGTAAGTGTAGTGCACGTTTTTGCTTGGACTGTGGCAGTGATCTTCCCCCAGCTGTATGGTGAGACCATCCTTCGGCTGGCGGGGGTTTCCCCAACCAGATATCTCTCATCAGCGGGTCGTCACCCCATCCGTGACAAACTTTAGGCTCCCGGCATGTGTGGTAGTGTAATGCGTGTAAAGGAAGAGGATAGGACAATGAAGAGGCAGGAAAGATTGCACGCGGTCCTTGGCCCGTTTGTTAGGGATTCGCAGCGTTTGTTAGGGATTCTTTTCTGCAGCGGTATTCGCTTGGTGTTGATCGGAGAAAACACCGAAATCTACCGATCAGAGCCGAT